ACACAGGTAATTACGTGCGGTCTCCTTGGAGCTTGTGTTTCCATTATCGCTATCCTCCTTCTTTTCCTCCCTGTGTGAAATTGTATGTTGTTGGTTGATTCATCCAACATGCAAGTACAGTACTTGTCGCGTGGTTGTTTAAGTTGCACTTTTAAAAAGGAATCATACATTTAGTGAGAGGTAGCACATGACCAGTCTGAATATTGTTTGAATTGATCATGTACTGTACAAGCAGAGAGGAATTTGAACACAGAATGTCAACATCAAATGTTAAGGGTACACAGAAAACACATCAAATTGAACATTTACTATACACACACTGCTCTGTCTCAGTAGTATGTGTTGCACATGTGTATGAGTACGTGCATGTGTGTTGGATATATGCAGGGAAGGAGAAAAACATGGCTAAGTAATAATATATATATTTTTTAAATGATGTAAGTGCTAAGTTGTTCTCTGGCCTGGACATAATGTGTTTATTTAATGAAAGAAGAGATTCACTAAGGGCAAATGGTAATTTTGAGCAATACACTTTGAACCATCTGGTCTAGAAAAATTAAATAATTACTCACACAGTGCTTTCTACATCCCAAAATGTACTGGGCCACCTTTTCAGGTCTACTATAAATTAAAATACAAACTGTCATGGAAAATAATTTAAAGGCAATTCAGTTTCAGTGGTTGGCGGAGTAAAGGTTATATTTACATTTACATTTACTCATTTGGCGCTTTTATCAGCTTTTATTAGCGACTTACATTTGAGGAACAGCATACAAGCATCAACAGAGCATCAAATACAGATCTACAACTGACAATACATACTAGTAAGAGCAGCAATAAGTACTAGTCAGAGCTCATAGTACATATCACATCATGGGGTAAATACCTAGGGAAGGAAGTAAGAGTTAACAAAAAGTGCAATCAAAACAAAAAAGTGCAATCAATACAAGATAATTGTAGGGTTGTTCACGGACAAGATGAGTTTTCAAGAGCTTCTTGAAGTTAGAAAGGGACGCCCCTGCTTTGATGGCGTGTGGTAGCTCGTTCCACCATCGTGGTGTCACAGATGAGAATAGCTGGAACTGGGATTGCTTTGTGTGAAGGGATGGCAGAGCCAGGCGGCGTTCGTTGGAGGAGCGTAGCGGCCGAGAAGGAATGCAAGTTTGTATTATGGAGTTTAGGTAGATGGGTGCAGACCCAGTAGTCACTCTGTATGCAAGCATTAGTGACTTGAATTTGATTCTGGAGGCCACGGGGTGCCAGTGGAGGTCACTGAGTAATTTGGGCCTTTTGGGCTGATCAAAAACCAGACGCGCTGCTGAGTTCTGAACCATTTGTAAGGGTTTCACCACACAAGCTGGAAGACCTGCTAGGAGGGCATTGCGACAGTCGAGGCGAGAGATAACCATGGCCTGTACCAGATGCTGGGTGGCATACTGAGTGACGTAGGGCCTGATTTTCCTTATGTTGTATAGAGCAAAGCAACATGACCGAGAGACAGCAGCAACATGGTCTGAAAAGGACAGCTGGTCATCAATCATGACACCCAAGTTTCTCACCACCCTGGTTGGAGTGATGGTTGAGGAGTCAATTTGTAGTGTGATGTTATGGTGGATAGATTGCTTGGCTGGAATGACCAAGAGTTCAGTCTTAGAGAGGTTTAGTTGAATGTGGCAAGCCTTCATCCATGCAGATATGTCCAAGAGACAGTCTGTGATCCGCACCGAGACGGTGGGATTGCCTGGCAGGAAGGATAGGTAGAGTGGCGTATCGTCTGCGTAGCAGTGGTAAGAGAAGCCGTGCGAGCAAATGTTCGGCCCCAGTGAGGTGGTGTAAATTGAGAAGAGAAGGGGCCCTAGCACTGAGCCTTGGGGCACTCCTGTGGAGAAGCAGTGGGAGGAGGATAATTGTCCTTGCCACAGAACATTGTAGGAACGCCCTGAGAGGTAGGATTCGAACCACAGGAGTGCTTTACTCGAGATGCCCATTGCTGAGAGAGCGGATAGCAGGATCCTGTGGTTGACTGTGTCAAAGGCAGCTGATAGATCAAGCAGGATAAGAACCGAGGATTGGGTTGCAGCTTTAGCTGACCTTAGGGATATATATTGGATACATATTGGACCTTAATAATCATAACTAAAAGTCCTCTCACTCGCTTTTTCTTAAGATTTTCATTTCTTCTCAGTGTCAGTGAATGGAGTTGTCTCAGTTGTCATCATGTGACTTAAGTATGGAACTCTGGTTACATGATAACAGGTTATTGCATATGGTGGCATCGACTTGGACTTCTATTCCAAATGAGTTTGGTTGATGATGTATAGAATAGACAAAATGACTACAATTGTTTTCCAGCATTTCTGAGGTTTGTTTTCCAGTCTGACGGGTCTACTTGGTTTACAAATAGCTTCAGCGCAATCTTATCAAAATGTGCGGTAAAAGCTCAAAACTTGAATTATACAGTATGCTGTGGCCGTCATTGTGAAGGTGAAAGTCTTGTACTTTGAACGCAGCTGGTGGACAAAATATTTTGTCCATTGTATGAAAGTAGTGGACTACTATTGTATGCAATGTTATGTCATATAAAGTGTTCCTTTCTGGCAGGGACTAACAAAGAGCTAAAAAAATATCTTACTCTTGGTTAAGTTTAGGTAAATGTATGTAGCTTGTGCTAATGTTTTATGGTTAGGTAGAATAACAAACGGGTTTTGCTGGGGTTAAAATGATGGTTAGTTATGGAATATCGATAATTAAAATTTTGGATAAGGTCAGGTTGTTGATTTTGACAGGGGTCTTCTGAATGAGCTTGACAACTGCATAACATGGGGAGCACAAATTTCTTTCCAACCAGAGACGGACCTTTTTACATTTTGAGACATTATGCTCAATTTATAACCAAGGTGCAACCAAACTCCGACGTCATCCCATCTCTCTTTGAGCTGATTAGGCTGAAATAGCCTCATCCCATCGGAGTGTTAAAAAGCTGGGTTTTATGGCATCAGTTGAGTTTTAATGTGAACACTTCCAAGCCAGAGCCTTTAACAATCATGCCACTCTTGACAGTTATTCCCATATGATCTGTATGCAGTATAACACTCTGGCAGAGCCCAGTGATTGCTGCTTTAATTAGAAACACTCCACTTTTTCCTGCATTGTGCCTGGTGAGTTCATTTGATGAAAAGGCGCTCTTGGGCTTTAGCTAAAAGATCCTCAGGAACATGAAGGTGAGTGTTGTGGCCAGTGGGATTTAAGACCATCAGCCACACTGATTTTAAAAAGCTTGATGTTTTATTTATAAACTTAATTGAAGACGGTGGCGTTCTGGCGTGCGTGTGAGATATGATGTTTAATCCAATCCTAAGTGAAGTTTGTCTCACCAGGTTTGAACACTGCAACCAAAACAACCCAAAAAGATTATCGCAAAATCAAACAGACAAACAGGTGGAGATCAAAAGAGTATCTTTCTCCAGCTTTCTTGGCAGAGCTGGCGTGTAAATTGCCTCTCTGTCCCTGCTAGACAGCCTGCTGTTCAGTCACTGCACCATTAAGCATTTGCTCGCTCTGGTTAGTGTGTCATGTACGAACAATGAAATTTGTTTGATCACAAGCTCTTAGTAATTCTTCAGTATCTTCAGAAATGTCACTGGGGTCGCAGCTTGCTGATTTTCATATTTGACTTTTTAATTGCCATAACCTACTTTGCATGCACGCTTCGGGGGAGGGGGTCAATGCAAAACTGGCACTTGCAAATGTCAGTTTTGGATGCACCTCACATTACAGATGAACTGCACACACAGATAAATAATTCATTGGAAGCCAGGCGTAGACTGTATAACAAACCATCTTGCTATTAGCACGATTGGTAGACCTAGCAGTACTTTTACATCTTCTACATGACAGGAAGACATTTGATGTAGCGATCATATTAAACATTTTGCTGAATGGAGCTTGATTAGTCTGTTTGGCCAGTAACAGGTTAATGTACCTGAGCTGATCTGCACTTCCTGTTGTGACTAGCAGAATGCTGAAACACTTGCTGAATGTGACTACTGGCATTGACCTTTAGGCTTATACACTTGCACACACACAATGCTAATCTAATGATTGGCGGAGGGGGGGGGGGCACGCTTAGCTGCCAGTGTATTAGGTACGTCTAGTTAAAACTAATGTGTTGTAATACAACTATCTTGCAAAAAATTCTTTCATGAATATTACAATGTTCAGTTTTTATTGAAGCTGTTTCAAAGAGGTATTGATTCAGCCCAGTGTATATTAAGATGCATTTCTTATGATTCTGCTCTATCACATTCTGATGTCTATTGCTGCTGTGGGCCTTTCCCTGTTTCAGTTACAAAACACAATGCTTCAGGCACTACTTTAAAAAGGAAATGACACATGCATTTGTATTCCCATCTGCCCAGGGTGTTTTTTGGATAAGGAGGAGAGATCCCAGGCAGTCTCGAAGTACTCTTGTTCTGCAAAATGTAGATAAAGATTGGAAATTGAGCCATGTGAGCCACTGCAGCCAGTGTGTGGTGCTGCCATTTGCACAGTAGAAATCAGCAGATACTCTTGACACTGGCTTGAAGGACATGAGACACAGAAAGTGAATCAGCCATTAGTAATGGCTGAAGATGTCTCAGGATTTCCACTGCATAAGAAAGTACATATACCTTTAGGTCTTCCTGTGGTCAGCCCGATTACTTACTGTAGCCACAGTGACGTATGAATGAGCTTCACGACCACAGCAGCGCACACCTTCAATGTATTAGCCCCACCTTAGTCTGTTGATCTTCTTTGTTCTTTTATTCTTCTGCATTTCATTTCTTTGCTAATCATTTAGGTTCAAGTTTGTCATCTACTTGTTATTGGTATTTTTTCTTTCTTTTTTATTAGAGGGCATTTTCAGAACTTGTGTATTTTAATTTCCTTTATGGTCTCCCCATCATATTGCACTTGACTGACTGACTTTCTTGTCTTCTCTCCTCTCTTTGCCTCACCAGGGAGGTAGAGGAAGAGTTGGAAGTGGTGTGGCAGGCAGCAACCAGGGAAAACCAGCAGATGAGGGAGACTCTTTTGGACTCAAAGCTCACTGCAGACCTCCACGGTGGGGCCGTGGAGGCAAAATCTGACTCGGATCACCAAAACAACTCCTTTGATGGGAAGCATAAGCATGGGCTGGATTTCTATTGCTAAAACGCTTGGAGTCATAAACCGTCTGTGTTCACACATACTGGCAAAACAGACAGGGTAGAAATATGTAGATGAATTACAGTCCTGAACATGTCAACGCACACCCATCTTAAACCATAACCATCCTCTGTGACGGTCTGGGTAAAGTAAAAAAAGACTTCTGTTTTATAAACAAAGATTTTTGTAATCTTTAAAAAAACCATTTAGTCTCAGGGTTTTACAGACCATGCCAAGTAAAAGAGATTAGAACAAATATCCACAGTAGTGGTGGAAGTTGCATTACCTGGCATCATTAAGGCTCTTGTGTCATACAGAACATAGCAAATGTTGCCACCTGGTGGACACATATGGTAATGGCATTATCAGTGGATCATTACATGGTACAGAACAGGCAGACATGGAAAAAACACAAATTGTTGCAGTAAAATAAGTTTTTATAAACAGAGAAATGCACAGATGTTAGATACATGATTGGCTCTATTTTCATATTATTATTACCTTTGTTAACTATAAGATGATATTTTGGACCATGACTGATTTGCACTGACTTGAGTGGTGGAGTGACTTTTTGGCTACTGGGTAAATAATAAAGCAACATTTCCTTGGTCATGAGCCTCACTTTTTTTCTTTTTCACTTCCTCAGAAAGTGTTCTTCTCTGGGACAGTATTAAATAACAATATTTTTTCCACTACAAAGTAGTTGTTAAACCTTTGGGATTTTCTTGTTCAGCGTATTCCTTATCAAATACAGACATAACACTAACCATCACCCAAGTTTTTCTGTGACTGAGACACCATTACATCACCTCTTTGATCCCTCTGCAGCTCTGCTCTATAAGACTGAAACCACAAGGCAGATTACTGATGTACCACAAATCCCTGCTGACGAACACAGACCAGTATGACGGCGGTTGCAGTATGTGTATGATAGCTGTTAAGAGATGAGGCATACTCCTAATGCCTGGTGTAATGGTAGAACGTGCGGCTTACCAACAAATCCAAACAGCCAAATTATGGCATTGAGCTTGTCAGCCACAGTGTCGTCAGCAAGAAACATACACACATATGTGCTTTGATAAACCGCAACAATAATATATAAACAAGTATCTCTATCACTCATTGCAGCAAAACACCAAAGAATGGTCCTGGTTACATATCTTAGAATTCAACAGAATTGAGTGGGTTTTGGCTTTAATCCAACAAAGGGACAGTGTGTTGCCTTTTAATAAGGTGCCATCATGTCTCAGCCTGAGAGAACACTTTTTTGTATGTGTTTCTCAAAGAGAAAGCTTGTTTGTTTTTACTGGCTCCCTTAAGACAAAACACATCTATGAATCCAACAGTTAAAAAATAAGTTGTTTGCAGACAATCCAGCTGTCTTATTGAAACTCTTTTAAGGCCTGTTGCTGGTCACAGTGGAATCTGCAGCTAATTACAAAGATAAGATGATTTCTGCGTGTTTCTCTGAGAGCAATGTTTGCTTTTTCAGGAGCACACACACTTACACAAATAAAACTGACTAAAATCCATGCACACTATGAGATGTTATTGGCAGTTGCATAGGACCAAAAACTCAAACCTGAGAAGAATCCTGCACAATATGACTTGCACTCATTTCAGCTCTACGCGTCTTTTGCCCTCAACCAAGAAAATTAAATAAATTTTTGATGAAACATGATGATCAAATAGATCTCAAAATATCTTCTCTGTCCCCTGAAATAAAACATTATGGAACCTAGGCTACATCTGTTGGAGCTGGAACACCAAACACAATTCAGAATTAAAAATACAGTGACCTCCCCATTGTGAATCACAACGTTTGTAATAACTCACTTAAAGACGCACAGAATTCTAATGAAAGACGAAACACTTGGTTCCTTAAAAATATGAATTATCACGCCTGCTATGCCTCAAATCTTCCAACTGAAAATCACATTTTTGAATTTATTACAAAGTCCCACAACTCCACGTCACCTGGATTTCGTCTCCACAACCCTAGTTAAAGCATGCTTGCCCTCTATCAGTTCCCCGATAACCTCTATTATCAACTCCTCTCTATCCACTGGTACAGTTCCCCCTTCACTGAAGGTTGCCATAATCAGACCAACTCTGAAAAAAACTGGTCCAGAATGTAATGACCAAACAACTACAGGCCAATTTCCAACTTACCATTCATGCCCAAATTCTTGGGAGGGTTGTTGTATCTCAACTGCACATGTAACTATAACTATAATCTCCCCAAACATAGCACAGAAACTGCCCTCTTTAAGATCACCAACGACCTCCTCTTTGCAGCTGATTCCGGTCTAATCTCCATCCTCGTCCTCCTGGACCTCACTGCAGCCAGAATTACCGGTCAGAAAGCTCCAGAGGTTACCGCAGAGTACCACAGGGTTCAGTGTTGGGGCCACTGCTGTTATCTACCTCCTCCCTTTTGGCAACATCTTCATCAACTACGCCATCACCACCCTCAACTCTACAGCACAGATTATCACATGCTTAATGTCCAGAGATCATGCAGATCCACATCTGAATCAATAACAACGGCTCTTTAAAATATTATTATTAACATTCAACGATCTCCACAATCAATCCTCTGCTTATCTGACAGACCTTCTTCAGACACTCCACCTCGCTCCCTGTGTCCTTCCACAACAGGTCCACTGGCACTACCAGCCATCAAACTCAGCACAATGGCCTTCTCCTGTGCCGCACACAAACTTTGGAAATCTCTTCCCCTTCACATCCGCATACTGGACTCTACTACAGAACGCAAAACTGCTCTTAAAACCCATCTTTTCAAACTAGCTTTAATAGAATGCACTGCATACGTCATTATACTGCAGTGTCAATTTTTATTTGATTGTTGTTTTATAATTGAGCCTATGTTTTTTATGATGCTTTGTTTTCTTATTGCTGCTTGTTGTTGCTGTATGTTTATTATTTTATTGCTGATCTTATATGATATAAGGTGACCTTGAGTGCCACAATAGGTGCCATTAAATTATATATATAGTTATAATTAAGTGTGCATGAGTCCTCCTGGCTGCATGCCCTAAATTACTGATAAATGAGAATTCAGTCACTAGAGGTATGTAGAGCTATTATAGGCCTATAGGCTATAACAAAAGTGTTCCATGGGGCGAAAGTAGAGAGAAGAGAGAAGGGGAGATACAGAGGATGTGTGAGGGGGATTAGGACCACAGATGGACCACTGAGTTATAACCACGCAAACTGCAATACAGTGTCAGTTTTATATTTTATATGTATGATTATTTGACCTGCAGTAGGCTACTTGCTCTATCTTTATTTATATTGTTCTACCTGCTGTGTTATTGTTAAACAACAAAACACCAAAGCAAAGTACTTGTAGGCATAGTGTGAACCTACTTGTCAATAAAGCTTTTCATTCTAAAAAAAAAAATGGGCATAGGCCTACTAATCGATGATATGGTATATTTAATAGACAGAAGATTATGAGGACTACAATAACCAGTAAACAGACCACTGAATTGGACTCAACCCTATCTAGTCACAAGGATATGAAGTGCGCAGTATTCCCTCAGGCAAAGTCTGCAGAGATGCAAACTTACTGAAGGTCTGCCAGAGAGCCCTCATGCACTGGATGATTTGACATCGGGAGTGTGGAGAATTAGATTGGGATGAGAGAGGTGGTTACTGTGGTGCATCCTTAATTCATGTTTATTGTGATATTACTTGGGACGCTAATTTTATAAATTAATATACCGTAAAACTTTGATTAATAGCACGGGCTTTTATTTGCTAAAATCACTGAATTGACCTTGCCTTTATTTGGGACAGGCGTCCATATGGGACAGGCCTTTAATTCTTTTTGCACAAAACTTAAACTACTATGAAACTATTTATTTCGAACAAAATAATACTTATGTAAGAATTATCCAGTAATATCAAATACACATCATTCATTTGATCTAGCTCCGACTGTCGGCTTATGCGCTTTTATGTTAAAGGCAGCAACGTAAGGAAAACGACAACACGGTGCAGGATGAGAGAAGTTAGTAGACAGAGAGCGATGGACTTCACATGACAGGATTCACAACTTGGATAAATTTTCCTGAAAAGCTGTTTTGATTCTTTTGATGGGTGGACCCTTACAGAGTAAAGGAACATAAATAATCAAGGAACGGACACATTCGGACTCAAGGAGCTCAAAGTTAACGTGAGTCAGCACTCCCCCCCCCCCCTTTTCCTCTCTTGTAGCCATGCAGGTTACACCAGTAAATGTAGAAGAATTAGAATTTGGGTCTTGTTGTTAACGTTAAATTAACTTAGCAGTGGTATTGTGGAGAATCTAACCGATCTAATGATATTCAGCATGTCCATATTGACATATTGATCATACAAACATTAATATTTGTATTAACGATCTAAGCAGCTTAGAAGCAGTTTAAAAGCAGCTAATGCGGGCGAGCCTGCGGGGTTTAAGAGATTTTATACATCCAAAGAACTATAAAAACCAGACCAGGCGTTTAATAAAGGCAGGCGTTTATTTGTCAAAATGTGTTCCCACACCAGGCCAGTAAAGGAGGTAAGCAAGCTATTTGGGACTGGGCTATTAATTGAAGTTTTAAGGTAAACTCAGTAAGGTTAGACCTAAGTTATACATTCATATAAACTCCAAATCTGTGAGTAGCCTAGCCTACCAATACACCAATCTGACAACCTAACTAACAACAACAAAGATTCACAAACATGCCTCACAAAACTCTATTTGCAAAATATCTGCTAAACTGTAGAGCAACTGAACAGAATTATGGGAGACAGGGTATGGTTGTAACACAACTATAACTCCCTGATTTTTTTAGCTAGAGTTCTCCAACTTTTATACAAAGTACCCACATTTGTTCACTACAAATGGCACCAATTCAGTCCTCTACATGAATATCACAGACCTTGTGAGTTGATGTCAAATGCATTGTGTTCCCTTGTTACAACCTGCCCCAACAAAAGGACAAAAGAAGCAAAAATAGATGCCACACTATATGATATGCTTCAAAAACAGGTAGTGATATTAAAAGAACAATGTTTCTCTCTCACTGTAACAGTGTAACTGTATGTAAATTTATCTAGCCTACAGAATAAACTTACTTACAATATGCTTAATAAACAGTGTTGGTGAGTAGCTTGGTGGTAGCGTCGCTATTTTCTGAATCAAATAGCTTTTCAGTAACGAAGCTCTTTTATTGACCGAGTAGCGGTAGCTTCCACACACGCTAACGATACATTTCCCCAAGAATTTTTGAATGATACGTAAGTGACGCCATCTCCACACACGGCCCTGTTTCTGCAGCCGTCAGAAGCGCTTCCTGTGACGGTGACATCACGTACCGATCCTCGAGCTGATGTCTGCAACTTTGCTGCAGGGGAGTTTACTTATTGTGATAGTTATTGTAACACCTCTTGTGAGAAGGATCAGGGTCCACCTCTTCCTCTAGTGAGGAGGAAACTTGTTTCCATTTCTCTGTCTCCCTCTCTCTCTCTCTCTTTCTCGTCCATTACCATGAATGTTTAGGTTGCAATGTTGCCAGAGCACTAATTCACATATAAACAATAAGAAATATATAA